AAAAAAAAAAAAAAAAAAAAAACACAATAAAAGGTAAAGCCTCAGAAAAGGATAACTCTTCCTATTCTTCTTTTTTTTTTTTTTGTTGTTTCTTTAATTTTTCCTCTTTGGGTTAAAAAAAAAAAAGAGGAAACTATTTCAATATCAATTCGTAAAAAAAGGGGGGGCAGGTGTTTAAACAAGTTTTCTTTTTTTTTTTTTTTTTTTTTCACGGGAGCGCTTGATGCGTAAGCCATATGCAAACACAAAAAATACCTGTGCTTATTTTTTATGCCCTATGTGATATAGATATATCTCTATTAAGGCGAGAAAAGGAGCAAATAAGGAAAGGGGCACGACACTATATGAGAGAAAGGTGTTCACTTAACTGTGGATAAAACGAAAGAGCATTTCACTGTCCCACTTTTTCTTTCTTTTCCTTTTTTTTTTTTTTTTTTTTTTTTTTTTTTTCTTTTCCCTTTCTAACACTGCGCTTCTACACAAGTGTGGAGAGGAATCCTTTCAATGGAAGAGATAATTCTAAACGGGGCTCGCAAAAAATCACGCGATGTAGACCCACGACCGGTGCGGAAATTAACGCACAAGCGGAGACCGCGGCACACGTGGAGGCAAACACGGCAAAAAGGAAAAGCAGCAAAGAGGGAGGGGGTTATAGAGGGTGATGCTGCACAGTTTGGGAAATATTGACACGCAGTGGGGGGGGAAACCACCTGCTGCGAAAATGAATGAGTTTTTGCAAAATGACGCATGAGGTGTGAAAAAAAAACAACTGTGCACAAAAAGGAAGCAGTCACTTCAGGTGGACAAAAGCAGGCCATCGTTGTGTGAGCCAAGCCTTCTACGCCAAAAGTCCACGTGCTCCTAGAGCAAGCTTAAAAAAAAAAAAAAAAAAAAAAAAAAAGGAGGTAGTCTATATGGGCAAAAAAAAAAAAGGGACAGGGGTGTGCACACGCGCATGCAATATGTATACGTTTGCCCCTTCAACTTGTTTGACGACGCAACCTGGACAGCACGGCACTCATGCATCTGTCCTGCCTGTGCTGATGGATATCGCATCTCCGAGTCGGACGCCCTCTTCCACACCTTCAACGCGCAACCACACCGCGCAGCACGCGGGACTCCAGGTCCACCACGCAGACGTCGCGCAGCTCCTCCATCTGCAACAACTCCACCAGCTTTACGCAGTGGAAGACACTCTCACACAAACGCTTGTTATAATTGCTCATCATTTTCCCCTTCAACGTAGAGATGTTAATTCCCCTCTTGTGAGTCTTGAGAATAGCGCCAAGATAAAATTTTAACTCCTCCATGGAAGAAATATAATTTTTTGCATTACCACCCCGTGTGTTTAATATACCCATCTTGGCATCCTCGTACTTTTTACATTGCGAAATAGGTTTTATAAAATTATTTTCGTAAGCAATGATTTTTCTGGTAGCACTGATGTGAACAATGTGACACAGGTGCCCCAAGTAGAGCCCCTGAAAAAATGGGAGCTTCCTTCTCTGCAACTCCTTCGCCATGCCATACCTGCCCCCTGTAAAGGAATACACCTGGGGATCATCCGAACTAGCTATTTCGAGTAAATATTTCTCAAATTGATTCCACAACGTCGCGTCGTATCTGTCTACTGAATCGTTAATGGAGAAAAAATAATCGTCGTCCACCTTTCTGTGTGCAAAATGAACCAAACAGTTCTCAGGAGAGGAGGCAGCAGCGGGAGGGGAATTAGCAGCAGCAGCAGAGGAAGGAGAACGAGGGTGATGCTCCGTCACTGTGTACTTCTCAGGGAATAACCCATACGCATTTGTGATATTGTTTTTTATCACATCCCTCAAGTTATATTCTTCTGCCCTTCCCTTTAAATTGATAACCAGCGGAATTATTCTGTCTTCGTAAAGAGACTTTAGTAGATGCTCCAAGTCCTGCTCATCCTTTTTCGAAAGACATGCCTTTAAGGCTTCTGCAGATAGTTGATCACGCGCTTCGCTCGATTTCTTCTTTCCTCTTGTGTTGGACATCCCTCGCCTTTCCTCTGATTTTGACCGGTCCACTCGACCGTTTCTGTCTCCGCTACCTCTGCCGCTGTTTACGCCGCTACCTCTGCCGCTGTTTACGCCGCTACCTCTGCTGTTGCTGCCCCGCGTGGCCGACGAGCCCGAGGCAACGTTCCTATTCCACAGGGAGTTATTTCCGTGGTCTTCGAATGCGCCCTTCCCCCCACTCCTCAAAGATGGATCTCTCCTCCTGCCTCCAAATAGAATTCCTTCCGTCTTCGCCTCTTCAATACCTCTTTCCCTTCCCTTAAAATTCCAGCTAGACCAGTTCGACCCCACCTCATCGTCTATGAAGTGCCCCTTTTCAAAGGACCCAACAACGCCGCTAAAAAGGTCAGTTCCGACACCACCACCAAATGCCCCATGTATCGTCAGATTTGCTGAGTCCCTTTTCAGAAGCCAGTCATCCCCGTCATGCGCCAAGCCGTTGTCACGACGTGCACCTTCGGGATTTCTCATCAGGCTGTTACCCCCATGTAGTGGTAAAACGTGACCATTCGCAGAGCCATCCTGTGCTGCACTCCTTTCCTGCTCCACCGTAGACACATCACTGGTGCGAAGGCTTCTACTATTCCTTCTACTGAGTAGAAGCAAATTTTCGTTTATTTTTCTGAGCTGCGCTGCCTTGTCCTCTTCCTTGTTAGCTGTTCCCACCTGTTCACGAATCGCATCTCCCGGTTCGATGGAATAGTCTCCCCAATGGAAAGAACCCACGTTTGCGGAGTTTCTCCCGTCTACCTCTTTCACGGGCAGGACGGGCAAAGGAGGCGAAGCAGTCGACATGAGCCCAGAGTTCCATCTTGCCCTAATGTCGTACCCATTTGGGCCAAACGCGGAATCGCCCCCGAAGCTGCCCTTGCTGAGGCTATTACGCTGCCCGCTGGTATAATTGTCCATGTGCCCACTGGGGATGCCCGCCTCCACTGCAACGCCAACTGCACCTACAGCTCCATCCTGCGCGCTCCTCGAATTGGTCATGTTATGCGCGAGTAAACTGTTCTCTAGGAACAATTTCAGATTGGCAATGCTGCTCCTTTGTGTTCTGTTCCTCACATGCGGGACGCCACCATTGGAGTTGTCTGCCCTCCATTTGTCCTGTCGGGTCCCCTCCAACTGTAGACCCTGAGGAGGAGATCTACCCCTGATGGGATCCATTTGTGAATATCTATCATTATACAAATCAGTGTGGGCTCTCCCAAGGGGCAAATTGGTGGTGTGCCGATGCTCACTTGCTCCACTGCAATTGTAATTAATCGTCTCACTTTTAGGGATACCATTTTGCGTACCCTGTCTAGCATAGCAAGTTTGTAGATCTGTCCTAGTGGGAATCTCGTACCCTCCCCCAACTGGGTTATAATATAATCCTGCATCCCCCTCCCCAAATGAAGGACGACTCACATGTTCCATTCTTTCCCTACCGCTGGCGCCCGTTCCCCATTTGCTACGGTTATAATCACTTATAGCGTCCATAATGTATTCACTGAGAGAAACCTCATCATCCTCGTGTTGTAGAAGAAACCCTATTTTATTCTTTAACGCTTCGAACATAATATTTTTTTTTTTTTTAGCAACCTTGTTCTGTGATCCATGTGTAGATTGTCCTCCATTTCGAAAGGTACCCTGCGCATTATCATGCAAAATGGGGAAAGGGGCAGTCGGGTATTTCAAGTAGCTCTTCATTGGTAAGGCTGTATTGCTGATGTTCCCCATGGTAACTCCTCTTCCCACCTCGCTCACCTCTGCAACATCGTCCACCCCACTTAACCCGTGTGCATAGTTCCTCACTGCTTCATAATTGGCCCTACGTGTAAATGCATCATTAGCACCATTGTGGTCGTCATCGGGATGAGAATATCTCCCCCCCTCATGTGTCATATGTTTGAGAATATCCCCATGGTAGTACGCGGCAGTGTTGCCACTAATGAAGTCTTCCCCTGAGTGCATCCCTATTTCTTGCTTCACGTTATCCACCTTGACGACATTGTGAGAACCATCGTTTAGTAGTTCCAATAAATTATCGTATAGCTCTGACGTTGTGCACTCTTTAACATTGGGGCGCACTGAAGGAGTCTGCCCATGCCATGCATCTGCAGGTGCTACATGGTTGGGAGGAGTGGTGGTACTTCTCTTCCCTTCCGTGTCCTCCTTGTCAAGACCCCTTCCTTGCATGCATGTTTCTCCTTGATCATATCCAACCCATGCGGGGATGAAAAACAAACTTGGGGCATTCGAATCGGTGTGCTCATATCCTTCCTTCTTGTACTCCCCCCCATTCGTGTGAGCAGGATGGGCCATCCCCCCCAGGTGGTGCATCGCGCAGTTGTCCTGATTTACTACGTTATGACGGCTTGTTTCGTCTCTTTCTCCTCCCGACGGATGAATATTCTCCCCGCTCGATATGAAGCTTTCCGATTTGAAACCAATGCCTGCTTCCTTTCCCCTGTCTCTCTTCACATAAGTTCCGATGTCGTGCTCGTTCAACATGATGCTGTTGTCCTGGGTGAGGAGGTCAAAACATACACTCTTCCCCTTCTCGTAGCCATCAACATGGGGCGCATTTTGCCCTTGCACGTTTCCCTCACCGCTTGTCCCATCCCCGCACTCTTCCACTTCTCGATACTTCCTAATGTAGTCACAAATGAACTCCCTATTGCTGCTGCTGAGAAGTTCGAACAGATTTTTATTCAGCTCATGTGGTGACTTTCCCGTTTGGACCGTGTCTACCCCATCGACGTGTTCGTTACTACCCGCGAGCTGCGCTAGCAGGAGCTCCACATTAACGCGATCGCTCTCGTGCTCTACTGAAGATCCACCCGTATTATGAAACGCGTCCTCCTCCAGCATGTCGAACTTTTCGCTCTGCTCCATTGGACAACTCCCCCTAACAACCTCATCTATGAGAAGATCACCTGTCCCCTCGGCCATCTTCATGCATACCCCTACCCCATTTTGCACACTCTGACCTTTTGTAGCATTATACATTTCTTCATCCTTCGTCAACCAGACTCCTGGGCTGCCACTCCTGTTAAATGACCCAAAGTGGTTGAACAGCGACTTGGTTCCGAATATGTTGTAGTCCCGTTCGTCCACGCTCGTGAGCGCCTTCTTCAGCCTCAAGCCATGTTCGCATCCTCCACCGGTATAGGACGCTCCTGCGGAGACCTCTCCGGCGTTTGGCACCTCCACCACCTCTACCACATCTACCGCTTCTACCAACTGTACATCCCCATTTGGGTAACTTCCACTCTCCATTGTCTCAAACTCGTACGTGTTGTCCAAGTCCCACTCGACGTTGAAGCTATTATTTTTTGTGTGAAGGCGAGAAATGGTTTCACCAAGTTCGCTACTTTTTTGTTGTGGGGGAGTGCCCTTCACATTACCATCCTCTTTCGACGACACCGACTCGTCACTTTTTGCCAAGTCGAATATTTCCGTTAGGTAACTGTTAATGTAGTTTAAATTCTCTGCTTGCTCATTCGCCTCAATATTGTTTTTTCCCATGTCCACTTTTTCATTTTCTTTCCCCTTCCTCCTTTGGGTGGTTTCACGAGTGGTGTCTACATCTTTCGCTATTTCATTCTCCCGCGGTGTAGTGGTATTCTGATTACTCCTTTTAGTTGACTTCTTCATCCTCGTTGTGTGTGCTTCTTCAAATGATTTTGCTAGAGAGAATGAGCCACGAGTCGGTATTGCTTCTACTGGTGAAGTAGGTTGTATGTGTTGTTCTTCTCCAGATGTGACAACCTTAGTGTATTTTTTATTACTATGCGGCGTGTATTTCCCGTGCGCGGGATCACACACTTTTTTTTGTTAATAGTGGGATAACCTCTTTCTACTTCGATTCGCACAATATGATACGATTAGATGTCGCAACTCAGATGGGTCTATGGGGTTCATGACACAACTGAATGGTGCGGACTATTGGATGCTCAAATTATGCACCACAAGTATTACCTCACGTACAATTCGTTTGAGGATCTCCTCTCTTTTACAATTTGTGTAAATTTAGCGTCATATTTAAAAGAGTCCCACCCCCGTGATCTTATTTTTTCATAAAACACTTGACAAAATGCATATACAAACTAGCTCTTAGCTCTCCAGAAAAAACAACAAAAAAATGCACACAATGGAGGCAACTAAAAAGGACAAAACTAGCACTTCACATTAGAAACAACATATGCGTAACATGTAAACACTTCAGTGGAAATCCCAAATCTGCTGTGTAGCTTTTATATACACAACACAGTGAGTAGGCGATTTTTATAAAAATATACGTAAGACATTGGTAGTTCTATAAATGAGAACTACACGAACTTGGGGAAGGGGGAAAGAGGCAACAAGTAGAATTAAAAAAAAAGGAGGGTCGAATAAAATGGAAGAATACTTCTCCCCCCCAATGGTGAATAATCATACGCACCAACACAGGACGCACTACACGAAGCTGCTGTGTCACATACGAAATCAGAAATGTAAACAGCAAAAAAGACTAAGCCGTTGCATTTAAAACGGTGCAATCTGCATATACACAATTCATTCGTGTCACTCGCTGGACAGATGTAAGGCGCATGGGATTATGTAAAATGCGACAATTACTAACACACATTCGCTTTCATGGATGCGTATACAAATGTATGTGGTAGAACAAGGGGGAAACAGGTTTCGTCTTGTTTTGTTCACGTCGCAACAAGCGCAAAACCAACATGGGGGTTGTATGTGCATATACCTTCACACATACGTACACACATATACTCATGCATGCGCATATATGTGTATGTACGCTGGAGCGCGACTTTTTTCTTTTCCCACCCCGGTGGGGTTTGAAAAATGCAATTTAAAAAAGGTACATTAAAGTTGCGGGCGAAGTGCAACCGCAGAGCGTGCTAGGAATTGCGCGTTACCATATGGCAAGGATGATACAAGGGTAGCACACAAAATGCGGAACAAACAAAAAAAAAAAACAACTGTTACTACACTGGCTAACAGGTTCCTCCTTTCACGAGCTTACAAAAACATTCGCGCAGTGTGTCTTAAATCGCGTGGGTAAACTTACTCCTTCTCACACAAGTGCCGCATGAACAACGGCTTAAAGAAAAGTGACTCAGGTTGAGAATTTTCAATATTTTTCGAGCATACACAAGTGTTCACATTATGTTGCATACGAGAAAATTAACAATAACAACAACTGCATGTTTTTAAGGGAAATTTGGGAGAAAACTGTTTTGAATTAAACATGAAGTCGAACAGGAAAAATGTTTGTAATTGCTAAGCACAGGTAGACAAAGTGGAATGGAAGAAATAGCAAAATGGTGAAAGATAGGGAAAATGAAGCGGCGAAATGGCGAAATAGAGAGCTAGCCAAATCGTGTACAAAAAAAAAAAAAAAAAAGGCTGTTCTGGCAAGGTGCCGCAAAGCGTGTGCAAAGCTTTCTCAACAGTTACGATAAAAAAAACATTATGCACATTTTTGCAAAAAAAAAAAAAAAAAAAAGGTGTAGAACAAAAATTTTATGAACGGTTCATATTTTTTTTTTTTTTTTTTTCGAAACAGCTGAATGGCTAGCTACAGTTGTAATTCCTTACATTTTTTTTTTATCGCTAACCTTTTTAACAATTTTGGACATTAAAAAAATGTTGGCTATCTATGGACAGCTTTTTTTTTTTTTTTTTTTTTTTTTTTCCATCACGGCTAACTATTATGAGCCGTTGGACGGAGATAACAAAGGTAGCCACGTGGGGATAGACTTTTCCTAATTTATAAATAGCTTTAGACCTAGCTACAATGTGTTCGAAGCGTTTGGACGGTCGGCCAGCGGCTTGGCCGTTCCACATATCCATACGCACACATACGTGCGTAAAAAAAAAAAAAAAAAAAAAAAAAAGATAAGGGCCATAGCAACCCTGATGGGCGGAGAAATGGTCACCCGCTAACCGCGACACCGCGGGACATCACTGCAGAATAAACTGCGCAATTTGCGCATTTTCGCCATTCAGGCCCGTCTTTCCCCGAACAGCGTCTCTGACCCGTTTCACATGATCCGATGCCACATTTTCTCCCATTATAACATTGTTGAAAAAGGTTAAAATGCGGAGTAAAATCTGCTCATCATTCGTTTCGTTCAACGCGTTAAACACGTGGTCGAAACCCTTTGTCCGTGTTAAAAATGTAGGGAGGCGCAAATCGGAGGACAACATACCAAGTGCCCCAGTGGCAGCAACAACGGCTTTGTAATTTTCCTTCTCCATGGTAAAAGAAAACATTATTTGTATGTCTACGAAATTGATTTGTTCATCTTTTCCTTCCCCCTCGGTAATTTTTTTATACTTATCATACACGTACTGATGGACGTACGGCTGAGAACATAAGTTGCATATGCACTCTAAGCTGGCTGACCTTATAGAGTCATTTTCCGATGCGAGGATGTCGAAGCATTTGTTCCACAAATTCAGTTGCATGGCCTTGATGGCTACGTTCTCGTCAATGGTCAATATATTCGTTATGGCCATTAAGGACTTGAAGACGAGCAGTTCTTCTTCCGTACCCAGTTGGTGAATGAGTAGTGGAAGTGAATCATATGCCTCGTAAAAATGAATCAACTTTGGGTTGGTATAAATAAAAATTTCGCTCAAAGCTAAGGCGCAGTTTTTTTTATTAGCAATATGTTTGGAAGCCAAGAGTAGTGTCTTCAATCCATTGTTTACAAGTACGAGGCCAATATTTTTTGTATCTTTCACCAGTTTGGAAATGATGTCACACACAGCTTCTGCTATGTTTGTGGTAAAAAAATTGGTGTTAATAAAATTATATATGGTATTAACAATTGCGCCATTTTTATACTTGCCCCCTTTAGGTAAGACAATTTGTTCACCCTCTTTTTCTTTCACCTTGAGTGAATAGTTCTCATTATACATCAATAAATTAATTAACTGATTACTCGTTTCTTCATCTCCATAATCATATAGGGGGTCTGCTTTCGGTTTGGCTCCTAGGGGTAATTTTTCGTAAAACTGTTCAAGGGCTTCAATTTGCTCAGAGTCAAAATTGGATAAATTAGCTTTATTAATTTCTCTTCTCCTAACCTTTTCATCTTTTCTTGTTAATATTAAATTGTTGATGGTATTGCAGTATATGTACTTGTATGTGTTGTCTAATTTTTTTTGGTTAATATCATCTCCTACTTTGATGAGGAAGAAGAGGATGTAGTGGTTGTCTTGGTCGAGGAGCTGCTTTTTAAACTCGATATGCAGGCTGAGGTAGAAGACCATTTCGATGAGGTCCTTAACAGCGTGTGCGTCGTAGTCTATACTGCCATGCGAGGAAACATTCGTTTGCTCCTTAGGCATTTTGCGCACCAACTCGCAGTTCTTTTTGCCGCTGTGCGTGGCGTGCGTAGCGTCTGTGGCGTGTGTGGCATCCGTGGGCTGCTCGGGTGACTCAAGAAACTCCCGCTTGTGTAAACGAGTTGGGGTATCCTTGTGGGTGGAACAACCCTCAGATAGCTTGCCCATCTGTCCCTCAGAGCGTAGCAGGAAGCGTTTCAACAACTCCTTGGCGTAGGAAAACAAGTCGACTCTCTTCAAAATTTCGTCCTTGAACTCTTTGCTGTGCATATACAGTTTGAAGGAGCCCACGAGAAACTTTAAAAAATTTTCGTCATACGGAAAGGTCTTCAAAATGTTAATGTACACATCGATGTAGCTGTTCAGCATGAAGCGCAGTTCTGGGATGTTTAGGAGGAGAAGCAAAACTTCAATGAAAAGGGACACCTCCTTCTTTGGTTTCCTTCCCACTGACTGGTTAATAAAGATAAGTATATCACACATGTATTGCTGCTTTCCAATTAAGTAGTTGAGAACAATATTTTTGTCCACGAGGAAGAGGCACTTAACCGAGAGGAACCACTCCACACCAATATCTTGTGGTTTGAAATACAAATCAATACACTCATAAATGAGGTCGTTCATTTCAGTATCCTTTTCACTCGGTCTGTTTTTATCGTGTAGAAGAGAGAACATAAGTATTAAGGCGTACTCCACATCACTAGCGAAATTTTCATGCATACTAATGCACTGCTGAATAGTTGTTTTAATTTCGAGGTTGACACAGAGGGGGTGTTTGAAGACGTCGCCAAAATGGGCATCAATCAGATCATGCTTGACATCCAAATGAGCATCTTCCCTTAAGGTGTTTAAAAAGGAGACTGAATTTTTCCCCCCTTTTATATTTCTCCTTTGTATAAAGAATTTTTTTTTTTTGCAGAGGAAAATGATTGCATCGAGTGCACTGCTGGCCATATCTACATCGTCGTTGGAGAGAAAATACACATTAAGCATTCTCATCACTTTTTCATTTGTCACCATATGAATATACTTAATAATGTGAATGGTAAAGATCAGGATGTCCTTTATAAGTTGGTAACTGTCTCTTTTCTTATCGAATTTGAGGGTTTCCATTTTATTCATTTTATCCTTTACATAGCTGTTTATCCACTGCTCGTTGAAGGCTTCATGGAAGGACAAAATGGTTTTCACATAATCGAGGTCGTAATAATACTCCAGCTTCATATCACTGACCTTGTTGATACACACGTTGGTGTTCTTTGAAGTTTCCTCTGCATCTCTGTCCATTTTCGAAACTAATTTGTAAATGACGTGAAGACACGCCTTTTCAATGGCGAGGGAATTCCCTTCATGATTCAACAACTGGGAGAAAAAGTGAAAAATATTTTCTCGCAAGAGGGTGTGTATTTTATGCTTGTAAATGCTGTATATCATTTTTACTTTTTCCTCTTCCGTGGTGCCATCATCTAGAATGGTCTTTTTAATCATATCGATTGTGATACCTACCCCTTCTTTCTGCTGCTTTGATTCTTCCATTTCTTTAATTATCCTCTTCAGCTTGTCGTTTATTCGGTTTACTTCATTTCGCACATCTGCACTACTACCAGGGGTGCAAGAGTGATTGGACCTGCCAGAACTGACCTCCTTCAAGAGGATAACCTTGCAGCGTTCAAAACACTCGACGCACTTTTTGTAATTCTTTAACTTTTCATAGCACAGACCCAAGGTGTGATAACTCTTGTAGTGCTTCTTATCCATCTCGCTTACGTACGAGGAGTAAGTAATTGCTTCTTCTAGTCGGTCCAGGAAGTAATAACATAAGGAGACGTTGTGGCATATTTTCGTGAACAGGTCTTTTACTTGCTGGTTGAGGTGGGGGGTATCTCCATTGGTACCCTCTGGGACGTCCGCCTCCTTTTTTTCCCCGTTTTGGCGAAAAAACTGGACGCAGCTTTGAACCTTTGTGGAATCGACTGGCTCCCCGCAGAGCTGCGCAAGGGCGCCCAGGTAAACGCCCAGGGCCTCTTCATACTTTTTGCTCCGGAAGAGTTTGTTCCCCTCGTTTTTGGTTTCGTCCAGCAGTTGGGCGCTGGCACGGGTAATCTTGTGTGCATCCATTGGGATGGGACGAAGCAGTTCGTGCGCAAGAGACGGTTGTGCAGTCGTCTGGAGAGAGAGGGTTGTTCTTGTCCCCCCTCGCAGTGGAACTAGGCGCCTGTTAAGCCACGGGGGTGTGTCCTCGGAAGCGCGAGTTTGCCTACGCAGACCCACCCCGCCAATGTGCATTAAACCCTGCTCAGCAAGGTTTTTTTTTTCCCTTCCCCCCTCTGGGTTGCGCGAAAAATTATTTTGCCTTTTCGTGCTTTCCCCTGAAAACATGGGTTGGATGTCGGAACTGTCCCATTT